ATTCATAGCTATGTGCAAGGTAAATTATTTTGAGTTTCCTAAGAAATGATACTAGATTTCACTATCATGGTAGGCTAAACTCTGTGTATTAGTTTTGATATTTAAAGCATAAAAGAAATTTGAAGTATATACAGTTAACTTTGATAGCAACAAATATTTCTATCCCTCAGGGGCAAATATGCTTTAAGAAAGGAATAAATCATTAAGTGATTCATCTTAGAAAAGAGAAGGCTGATGAGTAGCATGAATAATACTCAAATACTATATAGAATGCATATTACTAGGATACCAGGCTCTTGTTTGGCTTATTAAAATATCACAAATTCTAAAGTAAGACCTGACATTTGGTAGGTGCTCTACAAATATTGAAAGAAAGGAAAGTTAAAATACCACTGGGGTGATGTTAATAGGAATTGTCCTTGTATAAAGGAGCCAATACTGGGAAACAGGCACTAGATGCTGCATTAGCTTGTCATGGTGTGAGCATGCATTAGACATTCTAAGGTGACTTTGTCAAATTGATATTAATATCTAAGAGGGCACAAAAAGAAGACCTTTTTTATTCAGAACACTTTGCTTTTTAGAAATTTCCCATGTATATTATTTTTATCAGTTTGTATTTGGGTTGGGGATAAAGCAGATTTTTTTTTAAGTGAAAGATTAAGGAAAGAGGGAAATGCTGAATGTTTATTATTTTAAGAGTTATATGAAATTTTATTTTCATTTTTTTCACTAATTACACTTCGTGAAAGTTAAAAATACTATTTCTGAGGTGCTGTTGAAGGGATCAAATATGTGGACAACAGCGATCTAGAGACATCAGAAATTCCATTCAAGTTATGGTTCAACTGCTGTGTGAAGGTTTAGGATAGGTAGGTAAAAAATTTTCTCAGAGTAAGTGAGTCAGAAGTTTTCTGGAATGGCAAATTTTACACGCATAATCCCGTGTTACACTGACCAAGAACACGCAGAGCACCATTACAGGAACGTCTCAGGAGCTTGGAGTTTACCCAAGCACAGGAAGCTAACCCTGTCTGCACGCCCCATCCTCTTTTAGTTTTCAACAATCTCAAGAAGCTTGTTTATCTGCCTACCAGTGGCTTAGTTACTTTCCTCCTCCCTGAGACAAAATACCTAACACTCATAGCCTGAAAGATGCAAAGCTTACTTGGGCTCACAGTTTACAGAGATTTCGGCCCTTAGTCCTGTGGCTCCAAGGTAAGGAGGACGTGACAGAGGCACTTGAGGGAGAGCGGAGAGGAGGCGGAGTGTGTCAAGGGAGGAGGTAGGAAGGGACATAAATTCTTTCGGGCCGCGCCCCCAGTGGCTCAGCTCTTTAAACCGGATCCCACCTCCTAACAGCAAGCCAACCCGCCTAATTCAGTCACCTTCCAGAAGCCCTGACTATGAATGTATGAGGGTCTAGGGTGACCCTAAAATAGAAACCGTGAAACCAGATTGCCTGTTGCCTCTCTGCCTTTATTCATGGGTTCTGCTGCTTGAAATTCCCTTCCTCCACCCCTCAGTCTGACTCCTTCTACTTAGTTTGGTGTTATTTAACACTTACTTCACCTTTTCTGGGAGGCCCTTTCTGATTCTCTTAAATTTGGTGCCTTTTTAAAAATATTTTCCAAACTCTGGGAATCCACTGCTATCCTATTGCACTTGTATTCTTATTACCTGTATATGTATATGTGGATGTGGATGTATATGTATATGTTGTTCTCTGTGTTGACCATAAATAAATCAAGGCCAGAGTCTTACTGTAGCCATAAGAAGAACAGAAGATAGAAGGTAATCATATTTATAAAATGAGACAGGAGGGAGAGAGGGAGCTAGACAGACACACTTGGTTCTTATAAGAAACTCATGTTTGATCTGAGGACAGAGCACAGTTTTCTGATACAAATAATACTTGCTAAAGGAAACTTTAGTTCTCATAAAACTCATTTTCTGGAACTTTGAAATCCTATAAGAAAACTTTCAAAGCAATGAGTAGTGAAATGTTTTCCAATGTTAAATAACAAATGCCTTAAAAAGGGAGAGGTGATTATAATGATCTGAAGGTTATGGAGATTACTTTTAATCCCTTAATTCTTGAATGTTTTGCTACACATTCTTTCAGTAATTTATCTCTATTTCTATTTCTCTCTGTTCATGAAAATCCAATCAGGAAAATGCAGACTAGTACATAAAATTGTTTTATATTTAAATTTAAGTATACATAGACCTGTGATAAAACTTCCCCTTTTTATGTAATTTTAAAGTATAGGTAGGTCCCCCATAGTGCCATTTTGGGGAGTGTCAGGCTGCTTATATGATGGTAGTACCATAAGGTGATGTACTTACTGGTTTATGTACATACTATACTTTTTATTGTTATTTTAGAGTTACTCTTACCTTTATTTATTTATTTAATTTTTTTTTTTTTGTACCAGGGATTAAACTCGGGTCCTTGTGCTTGCGCAGCAGGCAGCTAAACCACTGAGCTAAATCCCTGGCCCCTCTTACTTTAAAAAGTTTACTATAAAACAGAGTGAGATGTTATACCATCTTATATTTATTACATCTTTCAATTGCATCAATTTTTCTTGTGCTCGGATTAATTTTATGTTGATTTGTTCATCATGGCCCTAGGAGCAGTAGCTGATAGGAGACACACACACACACACACAGTCTAGGAGTGTAGTGTGCTATACATGTGGGTTTGTGTAAATGCATCCTGTGATTTTGAATAATGACAAAATAGTCTAATGATGCATTTCTCAGAACATATTCCCATCATCAAGCAATGCATGACTGTATTTCTAAAAGGAATATTTCACATTTTAGTGCTGTAGTTTCAGTTATAGAGGTGTTAAACTCTGGAATGAAATATAGCATACTCATACTCTTTAGTTGAAGCTCCTCTGTGATTTAGAGTACTTTGTTCAAAAGATATGCCCTAGACTCAGCCCATCTCATCATCGCTATTTCTGTACTTTATGGAACAGAATGCAGTTTATTTGGGGGGTGGGAGGAGGTTTGCTACCAGGGATAGAACTTGAGACCTGGCACTTACAAGGCAGGCGGCAGAACTACTAAGCTAAATTTCCAGCCCCAGGAAGCAGTTTTTGCAAAAAAGATCCTGGGTATACCAAGATGATTTGAAAATGAAGTAAAATTATGTTCTAGTGAAGACAGTGGCCTTAATTCTGTCCTTCAGTGTTTGCTATCAATGTTGAAATAATGTTGAAACAATGTTGAATTGATTTTAGGGTACTGGAGATATTGACTGTCATTTTAAAATTAAGAAGAACTTGGAAAATGCATCTATAAGCCTGGAATCTACAAAAAGTCCTGGGTTGTTTGTTGGACTTCAACCAGATGGACAAGCAAAGCCAGTCATTTACACCAAGGATGAGAATATTTGCTTCTATCCACAAGTCATTCAATGTATGTTTTCTCTGAAATCATTTGAATTTTGCTTGCTTTATGATGGTTTGTGTACAGAGACTGATAATTTCATCACATTTGTTACTAAGGAACTCTGTTAGCCTTTTTGTTAGTAATAATTCTAGAAGTAGTAGAAGAAAAGCATAATGAAGACCACTTGGCTCAACTTTTTTTTTATTGGTACAGGGGATTGAACTCGGGTCCTTGCGCTTGCAAGGGAGGCGGTGAAACCACTGAGCTAAATCCCCAGCCCCCTCAACTTTTTTATTAATGTTACAAATAGTGTTTTTGCCACTTTATCCTCCTTTATCATTTTTTTTTTCTGGTACCGGGGATTGAACTCTGGTCCTTGCACTTGCTAGGCATGCGGTGGAACTGCTGAGCTAAATCCCTGGCCCTCCTTTATAATTTTTAAAATTGTCTGAGCATTTACATGTGTATGTGTCTACTTGAATCTTATTGTTTAAGGATATTTTCATATACACTGAGAGTTATATGAGGTATGAAATTGGGCTTACTGATGTTTGATCATATACATGTATATAATTGTTATATTTTCTTGGTAGATTGCTCCTTTTATCAATACGTTGTGCCCTTCTTTGTCTCATCTAATTTTATCTTCAAATTTTTGTCTTAGTTATGAGTGTAGCTACCCTGAATGCTTTCGGCTTTTTTTGTTCATATGGAGTGGGTGGAGTTTGTCAGTCTGTGCGTGTCTTTGCCAGTAAAGTGTCTTTCTTGAAGACAGCAAGGAGTTGGGTCTTTTTAAAAATCCAGTCTGCCAGCCTGTGTTTTGTAATTGGAGAAATAAGACCACTATACATTCAGAGTTATTATAGAATGATACATACTAATTCTTGTCATTTTGTTGTGTTTTTGATGTTTAATTTTTTTCTTAATTTTCAATAGCTTATCTGCTCTTCCTCTTCTGTATGTATCTTCTACAGTGTTGCCTTAGTGGTCATGAGTCTCTTTAATTTATGCTTACCTTGGAAGGTCTTTATTTCCCCAAACGATAGCTTTGCTGGATATAGTAATCTAGGTTGGCAGTTTGTTTTTTCAGGCTTTCAAATACATCATTTCATGCCCTCTTAGCCTTAATGGTTTCTGAAGAGAAGTATGACAATTTTCTGATAGGTTTGTCTCTATAAGCGACTGAAAAATTCTCTCTTGCTTTTAATATTCTTCCCTTGTTCTGTACTCTTAACATTTTAAGTACACGCGACATGGGGAAGTTCTTTCCTGGTTGTGCTTGTTTGGGGTTCTAAATGCCTCCTGTATCTGGATGTCTATAATTTTTTCAAGTTTGTGAAGTTACTTGTTATTTTTTCATTAAATAGATTTTCTATGCCATTAGCTTGAACCTTGGCACCTTCTTTTACACTAAAGGTTCATAAGTTTGGTCTTTTAATTTTGTCTCAGAGTTCTTGAATGTTTTGCTCATAATTTTGAGTTTTTTCTTTATTAGAGTGTGTGTAATAATTTTTCAATCTTATCTTCAAACCCTGAAATTCTGTCATCTCCTAGAGCCTGTCTATTGGGGAGGCTTTGCACTGAGTTTATGATTTGACTTATTTTGATTTTCATTTCAAGATTTCTGCTTGGTTCTCCTTCAGAACTTCTAACTTCTTTGTAGAGTTGCTCCTTCATATCCTGCACTGTCTTTTATTTATTTAT